CCCCCCCCACAACCCTCTTGCTCCGGAAAAAACGCCGCTCCCCCATCCCACCGATCCCTCCCCTCTTCCGGCCGCCGCAGGACGAAAGCGGCTTTCTCTAGAAGTCCCTTTAAGCCCGACCGGAGCCCCCGACACGGACTGGGGAGGGAGGGAGGGAGGGAGGGAAAGCAAGCCAGGAGAAAGCGTGCGGGCACAGCGATCCAGACCGGCTGCATCCCTCCTCTGGCGGGGTGGCGGAAGGCCGGGATGGGGGAACCGCGCGTGTATTGCGGCAGCGCTGCCCCCCTGCCCGTGGACGCACGACAGAGGCTTCCTACGGCCCGGCTGTCGAGCGAGACAACCTGTAGACGGGGGTCTGTACGAACTTACTGGAGGGGGAAGAGGGGGCAGAACGAGAGGCTGCCCAGGCAAACTTGCACCCCTTCCACCCACCCGCTTGCCAGCGCAGAAGCCCGTCCGCCCGCCCCGCTTCCCCAGCACCTCTCCGGCGAAGGCGACCCCCCTCCGCGCCCAACTCGCGGGGCTCCTACTCACCTCGCAGCGTCCCGGCTCCGCCGAGCAGCGCAAACAACAATCCAAGACAGACGCAAGGCGCGGTCCTGCCGTCGGCGCTGCCAGCCCTCATGGCGATGGAGGCGAAGGAAGGAAGAGAGGGCAAACTCTACCTGCCTGGCGTACTCCGGGAATGCGACGCTGCCCTCAGCGAGAGCCGCAACGGCAGCCAGCCAGCCACCCACCCGCCGCCCGGCTCCAGACTAAAGCCGAGCAACCGCGCGCCTGCATCCCAATTAGACCCCCTCCTCCCCGGCAGCCAATTAGGCGAGGGATGGGCGGGGCTAGCGGCTGAAGGGAGGGGAGGGGCCGGAAAGCGGAGCCAGGCTGGAGTTGTCCCCAACCCGCCTGGGCGTCCTCGCTCTCGCCGGCTCCCGTTAGCGCTCCTGCCGCGCTCGCTTTCGCCGCCGCGGGCCTGCCAGCCCCGAGGCGGGCGCTGCTGGGGCCGCCGCTTCTCGCGTCCGAACGGGGCCGGCAGGAACTGCGCCGTGGGGGCTCAGCCAGCGGATGAGGTCTCCAACGCCCTCCGCTTGGAGAGGGCTTTGGAAGCCCACCCCGGCTGCGGTTCCAGTTCTCCCCTTCTGCCCCCCCCCCAAGCCCCATGCTCGTGAGGAAGCGCTGAAGGGCACCGCGGAACTTCCTACTGAGTAAACGTTGCCGCTGTTTGACCGCAACTTTTGTCTTGCTCACCTTCCAACTACGGGGATGACTTCGGGCGGCGCTGGGTTGACCTAGGCTGGGCTTGGGCAGGGCTAAGAAGGCTCCCGTCTGATGGGTACTTGGACCGGAGACCACTAATAAAACCCAGGGCAATAAAGGGGGGGGGGGTCCCAAAGCATCCCCAAAGAAGGCAAAGCACTTCCACATAGTGCCAAGGAATCTACTGGGTTGCATCCATAAGGAGTTGATTTTGACTGGGAGGAACCTTGGCACTTGCTTGCAGTTAAAGATGTTTGTGTGGTTACTAGGGATCCAGCTTGACTAGAGGGCATCTTTACCTTAGGTGCGTTAAGGTTGCAGTGCAATAGCTAAACTTTTACAACTTTTCCATTTGCTTCTTCACTTCCCTTTCCTTTCCCCTTATTGTCTTTCCTTTTTCACCACTTTCCTCTTTCTGTCTCACCTAATTCTATTTTCCTTACTTGCTTTCTCTATATTTCTATCTTTTCCATCTTATTCATTTCTTTTGCATAGAAGCTATAGATAATCTTACTATTCTTTGAACCTATATATGCGGATCTATTTATTTATTTATTTATTTATTTATTGTGCCTTTGAGTCATTGGTGACTCCTGGTGACAAGTCCCTGCAGTTTTTCTGGCAAGATTTCAGAAGTGGCTTGCCATGGCCTCCTTCCTAGGGCAGAGAGAGAGGGACTGGCCCAAGGCCACCCAGCTTCCTTTGTGCCTAAGGCAGGACTAGAACTCATGGCCTCTCAGTTTCTAGCCTGATGCCTTAACCACTTCACCAAACTGGTTCTCCATGCATAGGGTTTACCCTGGTCATTAAACCATCAGCTAACCAAATGGGCTGCCTCTGTACAATATGCTAAGACACACCAGTTAAAATTAAGCAAGCTTAATCTGTTTGTAAATGAAGTTGCTAGGTCTGAAACGTCCCCTGTTAAACAGCCTTTGAGGAAGTTATGATTTCTGACTTGTTGTCATGGTGTGTGTGAGTGTTTGTGTAGGCCTGTGCATACTGCAAAAATGATTCAATAGAAGTGCTTTATGCTTCATGCCAGTACGGCCCCTCTCTGTTATTCAATAAAGCCATCTAACTTCTCTCAGCTTTCTGCATGAGCAGAAAAAAGGTGCCTCTGCTTTCAGAACTGCATTCATTTGAATGAGATAAGGTAGCACCAACTTTTTTTTTCTCAGAAGCCATGTGAGGTCCGAAGCAGTAATTTCTGAAGCACACGCAGCCCTATTTCTGTGGTTTTGAACAGCAAAGAAGTGAGCTCTGCGAAGCAATGCGCAGATCTACTCTCCCACAATTACACCAGAAAATCCCGTCTCATGAATGCAGCAGCTTCACCATCTTACTCGCTATTCATCAGTGGGATTGTTAAACTTGTTTTACGCAGATTCTTATGCTTCAGGCTTCATGTTAGGCAAGAGGGAAAGGAATTTCTACCATGAAATCGTCAGAGATGTTTTATCTGCTACTGATACAAGCCATTGTAAGAACGTGACAATCTGATATTCAGCTTTCATTTCAGGATCACCTCTGTCCAAGGTGCTGATTGGTAATGGGCTTACACATGCTGTAGTTAGCAATGACTGTCCAAACCAGTGTTTCTGCAACTTTAAGATGTGTGGACTTCAACTCCCAGAATTCCCCAGTCCTCATTTTCTGGATCATAGACTCGTGAATATAGTCCCAGTGATGACGATCATGGACATTTTACATCACCCCCAACTTTTGTTTGGGAACATGGTATAAAAAAGGAGCCTACATCTGGGAAAGTTACATTTGGGGGGAAAAAATACACATATTAAGGATAGATATGTTTTGTTCCCTCCCCTCCAAGACTTCTTTAATAGAAAATTGAGTACACAACTACATATGTTAGAGGAAATTGCAAATTGTGGTAAATGTTCAGTAAATGTTTAGTAAATGTTTCTTGCCTGTTTTTTCATTATTCAAAAAAGGCATAATACATGAAGTCTTGCAAAACTGACACCAAGATCTAGACTAATCCATGCATTTCCAACCACAAGGGAAGTTGCAGAGTGAGAGATGTGTACCTTAAAAATATAATGCACAGTCAGCTACCTCACAACGATAATGCAAACATTTTTAAAACACAAACAATTCTAAAGCACTCAGAAAAGGAAGCAGAAAAAAAAAGGAAGCAGAGAAAAGAAATTCTTAGAAAACCAGAAGACAGATTTCAGTACAACAGTAGCTCCTATTAGAAGATATTACACTACCATTGATTTTAAAATATAAATATATAAGCATGAGAAAGGAGAAAGAAAAAGGCCAATGAGACTGCAGAAAGAGCAAAGGATGAAATAAAAATAAGGTGAGGAGGCAAAGAGGGTTACAGAAAAGCTACATTATAGTGCTTAACTGAACAGAAAGTTGGATGTAAACCAAATGTGTGTGTGTGTGTGTGTGTATCTGAGTGTTTGCATGCTGAAATGTTCCTCTGCCATTCATTAAAATGGATTTCAGGGAACTCCTGACCCTTGGTAGTTCATCCCTGTATACAGTGGAACCATCACTCACATATTAAAGATGAAAATTGTGTGTGTGTGTGTGTGTGTGTTGTGTGTGTGTACTGCATATTCATCCCTTAATGTTGAAAAAAGACATGAGATTGGGCAACTCAGATAAATTCTGCAGTCATATGCTAACTGAAGAGTAAATTCTATTAAAACCACTAGGACACATTTCTAAAGCTCTTTCTTCATATTCAGCTTAGAATGCATAGCTCCAATGTTCTCCTGAATCAAAGGAGAGTGGTTTTATCTTGTTTCCTCTCTACCATTTCCATAGTCTTCTACTGATCCTTCCTGCTTTTGAAAACAATTAGTTTTTCCTACTTGTCAGCAGAATCCTGCTACAGAAACAAGGTGTGTGGGGGAAAAAACTATGTTTGCATCACTAATTTGGAAGTGGGTGGTGGAACACTGTGAGGAATGGTAACCTGTTGCAGAATATGACTAAATGTATGTTTTGTGTATGTGGGAAGATATTATCAGCCCTTCTGTTAATCACAGGCTGGTGGGATATTTCAGTCATAGCACTGGCCAGTCTTTAGTTTCAAAATATTGGCTACCCAATTTATGGCAGCAGTTGTTTTTACTGACACAATAAAGGTTGCTGAGCAGTACATTAAATCATTCATGAAGAAAGATCTTAAATCAAGAGTTGAAAACCTGTGACTCTTTAGAAGTTGTTGAAGTACAACTCCCAAGCATCCCTCAATGTTTGCGTGTGCAACCTGGTACTTCTGGGAGTTATATTTCAGTAACACCTGGTGGATCACAGATTCACCACCTTTTTTCCTTGACCAATTTGGCACAGTATTATTAGTAACATTAGACCATCCAAGTTTCAGTCAGTACTGGTATTTGAAGCTAATGATTAAAGAGATCTGGAAGAGATGTTTGGCAAACTTCCTTGTGGTGACCCACCAAATATATGGTTCTACAGACAAGAAGAATCTGGGAGGAAAATACTGAACCCAGAAGGAGGTAGCATCCAGAACAGGGCTTCATATATGAGTTGTCTTGCTCCACTGTCAATATCACATCATGAAAAAGTGGATCCAGTGAGGATGAGAAAAACAGTAAGTACACCTCAGTATGTGATTTGTAAATTAATGCCCCTGACAGAATGAGCTACTGAAATAATTTTAGTTTCTGAGCACTGGGTGATGGGCCAAGCAAGGGGGGGGAGAAATCCACCACCCCTGTTAGATGAAGTATTCTATATCTATCTGTCTATCAATCTAAAAATGAAACATAGCAATGTACTGCAAGGATCAAAGAAAAAATTAGAGAAATGAAAATAGAAATTTAAGGATGGGAAGTACGAATTTGAAAGGGCGGTGGGCAATGTAATTTTTAAACATAATCCCCTATGTAAAATACTATTGCAAGTAGAAAGCTACCACAGTGAGATGTCCTAAAACAATTTTCTGAGACTGATAGGGTTTTTAAAAAACACACACACACACGAGGGAGAAAATGTACAAATCATGCCTACCTGCAGTTTGGACTAGTAAAATGTAAACGTCAGGATTCTAGGATCCCCTTCTGCCACAGGGCTAGATACCAAATTTGAGATTCCTGTTTGTTATAATTACATAGCTGCCTTAAAGCAATGAGTCAAGTGCCAGTCCTGCTTAAAACAAAAACAAACCTTTACTGCTGAAGCAGATAGTTGAAATTTAAAACTTCACCCCAAGCAGTTCCTGAAAAAGACAGGAATGTATTATCACTGCTAGCCCACTGACTACACAAGGAGCCAACTGTTCTGAGAGATACGACATGTCAGCAAAAAGGAAGCGAACAGAGATGGCACTCAGTATTCTGACTTAAAGCTTTGGGGTCCTGACATTATAGAACTTTATTGC